GTTGGCGAGCCAAGTCCGTCAACGACCCGCTATCGACGGCCATTTCTTGCCGTCGTCGATCACCTGTTTGCTTAGCATAATCTCCACTAACCCGTGCAGCACTACGGCGCGGACCCATACCAATGGTCCCGCACGAGCGAACACCCCTCATCCGCATACCACTTGTGGATGAGGAACGCGCACCCCTTGTTCCACACCCATGAGTTGACTAGCGGTATCCATAACTGGAGAGTCATGTGGAAGCACTATTAGGTGTGGTACCCAGCAGATCTTTGGTACCAATTCAGGAGATCCCAAGGTCCGGCCTGGTGGGCCCAAGACTGCAGAGGCACCTCCGTAGTAGGTTGCGAACCTTGGTCACTTGTGGACTCGCGATGCACGAAAGAGAGTTGCCATTAGTGACGGCATCGCCAGGAGTGGGCCACGTCACAGACAAGCTGGGAGAGACCACGGCAGCTATCCGTACAGGAGCAGCCTTTGGACTGGTATACCCAGGCAAGCGCCTACAGTGATGGCGGAGCTACCACACCCTCTCGTCTTTGTCTTCTGCGGTGGCTGCCACACAGCGACGACTCTTCAGGCAAAGTGCCCCAACAGTGGCGGACCTATCACACCTCCCAGCTCTAACCCTTTACCGTGGCTGCCACACGACAAGGACTACTCACGCAGGTACCCTCAGCATCAGCGGGGCTATCACACCCTCTCGATTCTAGTCGTCTTTCATAATCCAGGGTGGCTGCAGCTGCCCAGGGGACAGTCCCACGGCTGTCCTGGCCAAAGTCGCAGTGAGCTTGGCAAGGTCTGCCGCCAAGCCATGGGTTGGCTGAGCCATCACGCTCTCGGACCGTGGCTGCCACACGGCAAGGTCGCCGGTCATGTGTAACATGGCCCGAGGGAGAGCCCTCATGCAACTGGCAACTGCAAGAGCAGGGGCAGCGATGGCGGATCCAAGCCTCATCTTGATATCCTGCGAGATCCCCTGTTAAAAGACCGGGCATCGACCCAGAAATGACTACCCTATTCTTATTCATTCTCCGACGTGTATGCGTCCTACTCACCCCAACCGAAGGCTACACCACAGTCTATGGTATTGACAGCAACTGTTCAAAACCTGCGTAGTTGCCCACAGTATCTACGTCGCACCACGATATGTAGCTGAGTATATCTCCCCGCGGCAGAAGCCAAAGGCAGCGCCAACAGCGGCTGACAAAACCACCCAAGGAAATAGGTGGCACACAACGACCAGGATGAGCCAAGGTGCCCATGAGACAGCCCATCCAATGCAGAGACTCTTTCTCTGTGCTATAACCTCTCTTGTGTCGTTAATACGCTACCTTGTTGGTGTGGAAGGAAGGTGCTCACATTAGGGAGCTTTTAGAGAGGCAGCCGTGACCTAAATTCTCGGCGCAAACCGACCAAGCTGAAGAGGCAATCGATGAAAAAGACACATTCTGTGTTTACTGCTCCGTCTGTCATGGTACGGCTGAGTTGGTAGGCTGGTCAAAGAACTGACTAGCGTGGAGCACTGGGTTCCCCGTTTTGGATGGCAACTGAGACGTGCCGTACGCCGCTTCTATGAGCGCGTTCGCACATGAGCATCACCACGACATGTTCACTCTCGAGTCTTCCTGTAAATCTTCAGGGTTGGGGTTCATGTTACTGGTGTGTATGAAGTCAAAAGGGTAAGTCCGTTTGGGCCTTCCTTCTTATTAAGTAAAATGCGCCGTCCTCCTTGCTCGGCCGCTACTTTGGTGACATCGGACCTGCAACAGCCCTTCCCCTGGTCTGGCTTTCCAAAACATGACTTTGACCTTGAAGTGGCCTTTTGGCAATCACAGTAGTCCTCAGTCTTCCTCGCTACTGCTTCGAATGCCACTGTAGTGTTGAAGATTGCTTATGAGATATACGTATATTTGTTTCGACCAAAACGAGTGACCGAAATTCGCAGACAGACCCCAGTAAGCAAAAACGCAGTATCGAAAGAGGAGAACAAAGTATCACTCGCCGAGATACGCCAGGTCCGCCCAGACCCACCAGTGCAGAATCCCGACGTGTGCCAACCTCACGGCCAGATCACTGACGCCACTGTCCATACCGTCTCGCAGGCATTCATAAAAGTCGCGGGGCATATTGCCGCTGGTGGGTATCCTTTTCTCTACAGCGGCTGTGTACAGGCTCCAGCTGCTCATCCCCTTATATTCCCGAACGCGGTTGCAGAGGTCCATTAAAAGACGCCGGTGATAGTCGGCTTCCACTTCCAGGAAGAGTTCGTCGTGGGGGTTAGAAAGGACTTCGCCAAGTGCGGACTCGACCATGGCGAGCATATAGGCTGGGGCTTTAGCATAGCGGAAGATCTCAACGGCCATGTGCGGGACAGCCTCCGCCCAGCGCTTGGCTTGAACGACATTGGTGGACGTCGACTAGAGGATGGCGACCAAGGATAAGTACAAGTTGTTTGTCTCCATCTCGCTTTGGCGCTCGCCGAGAATGCGTAGGACGTGTTCGTAGATACGCATGCAGATGACAATGTTCACGGCATCGAGAACGTCATTGCGAACGCGTAGCAGCCTGTCCTTGTCGTAGTGGAAGGTCTCGGGCGGAATCGCATCGTCTTTCTGTACGCGAGAAGGTCGCACGAGGTGCGCAATGGCACGGAAAAAGATAGACATGTCGCCAAAGCCTTCAGTGCACTCATGGGCGTACTTGAGCTGTGCGCGATGATACCATAACTTTGACCGTCCAATGTCCAGCTTGCATGTTG